ATTGGAGAGTGTTGTGGAAAGATCCCTACCTCCCTACTGAGAAAGGAAAGGTCTGAAGTTTCTTCCTTCTGATATCTGGGATAAAAGGGGTTCGGGTGATAATTATTCCATTCCATTAATTTGTTCAAAACACGTGATTCTGAACCTTCTCGGTGATGCCAGGCCCAAGGTATGCAAATATATATCCTTACACATGCTTGCCTTCCTGAGGGAGCACAATGTGGTTCTGTGAACAAGTAGAGAAGTAGTGGCTGTTCAGGGGGAGGAAAAGTGGAACAAGGCAGGGGAGTGAGGAGGTGGGAGCCATCTTCCCAGGAAAGTGAGCAGTCCCTGGTGAGGCTGATGCTGGTCTCTGGCTTACCGGGGAGTCAGGGAGGAACAGCACTGGGGGCCTATAAAGGACCTGGAAATCATGACTAGTTTAGGTGTGTGGAGTTTCTTGAATGCCTGGAAAAAAAATTTAAGCTGCAGTTGCCCTTTAGAAAGATCAACTGGAGATGTCCACAGGGAGAATCTTGGGACACACAGAAGTATCAAGTTATAGTAGAACCCCGGACATGAGATGGAAAGACTTGAGTGAGGGACCCTAGAATCATGGTCACCATGGGAGGCCAGGCCATGTTGGAGGCCAGGCCACCCAGTGTCCCCTGGACACTGAGCCTAGCACCTGCAGGCTGTAGTCTCATCTTCCTGGGGTCCCCAGCACACCTTTCTCTTGTGGGAGCAGAGGGACAGCTAGAGAAAGCACATAGAGCACAGGGGGTGTGCAGAGGAGACACCAGTGGACCTCTGGCTGGGGTAAGGGGGCGAGAGCATTTCCACACTTTCAGAAGAGCTTTAGCCAACTTCCCATGGCTCCTTTGGTAGCACAAACTGGGTGAACCCTTGGGGAAGACTTTCTGTCTTGCTCTCCTACATTTTTTCCCAAAAGATTTCACTGAAATGAGACCCCACAGGTGGACATGGAGTTTCCTCAGCAGTTCAGGTGGTCTGCCAGGAACTTTCTGCCTAGAAAAGGGTCAGCAGAACAGGAAGCATAACCTGAGCATTTTTGTGGTAAGAATAATGCTTCCTGTCAGAGATGTCCCCATACTGATCCCCAGAACCTATGACTATTACCTTCCAAGGCAAAAAGGACTTTATAGATGTGATGAAGTACCTTGAGATTATCCTGGTTATCTGGGTGCCCAGTGTAATTATAAGGGTCTGCTAAAGTGGAAGGGGGGGAGGGCAAGATGTAGTTGGAGTGACGTACGTAGTATGAGAGGGACTCAACTCACAGTTGTTGCCAGCCTTGACAGTAGAAAAGGCCAGGAGCCAAGTAATATGGACAGCTGGCAAAGGCAAGAAAACAGATTTTGGGGGTTTGTTTTAGCAGTACTGACATTTGAATTCAAGGCCTTGCACTTGCTAGGCAAGTGCTGTACCATTTGAGCCACACCCCCAGCCCTTTTTTGATATTTATTTATTTATGGCCTGGGACTGGCCTTGGACTGCCTCCCCCATAGCTGAGATTACAGATGTGAGCCACCACACCCAGCTTCTTTGCTGAGGTGACATCTCACTTTTTCCTGAAACAGCCTCTAACTGCAATCCTCCTGATCTCCACTTCCCAAGTAGCTGAGATTATAGGCATAAGTTCCCAGACCTGGCCCTAGGATACATTCTTGAGAGCTTGCAAAAAGTAACGCAGTCCTGACAACTTGAGTTTAGTACAGTGAGATCCACGTCAGACTTCTAACCTACAGAACTGGGAGGTAATAAATGTGTGTTAAGTTGCAAAGTGTGGTAATTTCATATTGTGAAAGCATATTGTAAGGGTGAGTCCTCTGTCATTCACGTCTCCACTCACTCGTTAACTTCAAAAAGGACCCCTTGCAGTCATCCTACCTCTGTTAACTTCTAATCACTCATGCTAGTGTTGTTCATTATTTGAAAGGCTAGTGTTGACTTGAGTTTCAGCCTTCCCCACTAGATTGTAAGCTCAGGGAACAGGAACCTTAGTTGTTTGTCCATCACTGCATCCCCAGTACCAAGCAAAGTGCTCACACACAGTGGAAGCTCCACAAAATATCTGATGAGTACTTGAGTGGATGGATGAATATGGCAGTGCCCTGACATGCCACAGACACGCCAATGACATGAAACCTCCTGAGGCAGAGTGCTCAGTGACTGTTTACCATAGCAACGGCCAGTGAAGTCTCAGCAAAAATGAAGGGTTATTAATCAGTTCAGATCAAACACTCCTAGGAAGCCTTCTGAGGTCTCAGACTACTCTGTCCTCCTAAGAGTATTTATGTCGAGTATTACAGATTTCTTCTGCCCAACAGAATCAGAGGGCAGTATGTGAGAAGGAAGTCCAAGAGTAAATACAGTTAAATGTCCCCTTTGGGTGGAACACACTGGGATGGAAGATAATGCTTGTTTTGGAAGAGGCCTTGCTTCTCAGACTTTTCTCAGTATTTTGTAAACTCTATAGATAAGCTGTTTCTCCAGGAAATGACTGGTCATTTAGTCCAGAATGGCAAACAAAACCAAGGAGGGCTTAGCTAAGCTCAAGCCATTGCATGACTCTGCAGAGGAGGCAACAGGACAAGGAATGAAGTGGCAGGACACAGGGGAGGTCAAGGACAGGATACACCAAGAGGAAATTTGAAGACTTTGTTTGCAAATTCAACTAAGATACACTGAAGGCACCTGGCCTGGCAATAAGGTAACGTGAACAAAATGATGTTTATTGGGCCCATTTTGGAAACAGACAACATGAAAAACGGTTTTGGTTTGTGAGTTCACTCAGAGTCCAGAATTGTGATGGTTTCCTATCATTCATGGGAAAATCCTGACATAAGATACAAATAATTCTTCATCACACAAAGGGGAGTAAAAGTGGTTCAACCCACTATAGATGTAGTGCTTATAACAGATCTGATGCTAAAATTCCCAAAGTATCAACAGCATTTTTGTGTGTACAGTCTGCAATGCTAACTGTACTAACATCAGGTGTGTTCAAAGGTGAAGTTGTAAACCATCTAACAGTCAGCAGCAGTTAAGCACAAGGATCTGTACTGACTCCCATTCTTCACCTGAGAGCTTCTATATTTAACTAATGACTGCTGTCATCATCAGAGACATCTGAGATACGGAAAAGGCACTATAATATATATATAATCTTATTAACTAAAAAAGCAAAACCCAGGCATGATTAATTACTTTGCTTGGATCAATAAGTACCTGTCTCAAGTGCGTGTTAAGTATCCTAACAAGGACAGAAATCATCAGTTCAATAAAGATTGATGCTGTTACCTATCCATGTTCCATTTGCTCAGGCAAGTGGACTTTCCACACACATGTACAGAGATTATTTTTTGTTGGAACTTTTCAAGAGATCTCCTTTGGCCATTTCTCTTCCATCAGTCTCTTAGCAGAATTGCATAACAAAATTTCCAAATCACAAATCATCAAAAGCACAACTCTAGTCTTATTTCAGAAGAGAAATACCATTAAGACTTGGATGAACTCAGGTTTTTGTTCTGCCCGCAGCTTTAACTGGATCCTCACCCTCTCCTAGTCCCCTCTTGCCATACTGAACACTAAGGTGGCGTATGTCTTAACATTTCATAAATGAAACTCCCAAAGACCAACAGGATCCTGAAGGCCAACATGTGTTGCCAGAAGGGGTGAGAGGGAGCCTTCTCTTTTTCTGGAGCTGATATCAGCAGGACAAACAGACAAACACGAAGAAGACATGGACTCTCCCCAGACCTGGAGGGAGCAGTAGTAAGGACCTAGCACAGTACCAAAACCTGCTGCCTCAAATAGCATTTTGAGACTTGGTATGTTAGATCTTCTAGCCACTTTTGGGTGATTCTGTAATCATAGGAAATAAACATCCCTCCAAAAGATCTTGCTCACATCTCCCATTTCCCTTGGCCATAAAGCAAAGAAACACTACATTTGCTGCAAATCGCTGCCCATGAGGCAGTGTAGCCGCCCCAACCCAATGCAGCCTTTTCTAGAAACCACAGCACTCACAAACACAGGCAATTCTAGACTCAAGTTCAGCTGCTTCCAGAGCTGGGTATTACATGGACCCTGCCTGCTACAAGTCCCTTTACTCTGCACCTTTCCCCGTCTCCTGTCCCAGGAGGTCTGCTTGGTTTTTAGTTTGAAGACTCACCCCATCAGAAATAAGCAGTGCAAGATCCTATGTGCAAATATGACAAACAATATTTTTGAAACACATTTTAGAAATTCAAGTCAAATCCAGGTACAGACTACATGGTTGGTATCAGCCAGCCCCTCACATCCACAAGAGGAAAGTGGTCCATTTCTGAAATGATAGCAGGATTAAGGCACCAGTGACTCATGAGGATGTTAGTTCCTTGAGTTTGGGAGGGAGTCACAGAGGGAAATGCTGAGACTTAATGAAAAATAGGGCTGATCCAGCCTCATGACTGTCCTGGGCCAAAGGATTTGGTGCAGGCAGCATGTAGCATCTGGATGTAGGTGAAGATGGACCATCACCCACCCGTGGACAATGCTTTCCCAGTGATTCTGAAACAGAAGTGAGGAGGGTGCATTCCCAGGGCCATGAGTAACAGGGGGTGTGATGGCTTTCACTCTGTGCAAACCCTTCTGCCTCTTTTCAGCCATAGGCCTACAGCACAGGAGCCTGAATGGGAACAGTCCATTCTTTGCAGGTTTGTGTGTGGTCCAGACAACCTTCTGCTATAGTAATGCCTGGGGCATTGGGATATATCCTTGGGAGTATCAGGCAACCCAATATGAGGGAGAAAGGCCCTAAATTCCAAGATCCATGCCAGGCAGGCAAGGCTGGAAATCAGAAGGTGAACAGTAGGCAATGGGGTCTGTGTGGCAATCCAGAGCTGGTCACAGACACCCAAGTGAAGAGGCTTACAAGGGTCTCCCCTAGGGCATTTAGACCAGGTTGTGCTGCCCAGAGGTAGGGCTCCATGGCAATTCATGGGGTGGGGCTGTCATCCTGGAGGGGGGTGGCTCAGCTGAGGGAAGCACAGTTCAACTCCGAGTCCTCTTGGCTGCCACTTGCCACCTGTTCCAGTTCGTCAGGGCTGTCAGAGATGCTGGGCTCACTGGAGCACTGCCGGTGGGGTGATGGAAAGCTGGGTGGCAGAAGCAGGCACTTGTCCTCACTGCCAGCCTCCTCCCCCAAGCCTGAGTGCATCATGGTAGTCATGGCCAGCAGCTGGATGTCTGAGTGGGCGTTGGCCACTGTGTGCCGCCGGACACTGCCACACTTCTCCAGGTAGGCTTCCCCCTCCTGCTCCGTCAGTGGGGTCAAGGCCATCTCATTCAGTGGTCGGCTGACTGTGGTCATCGGGGAGGCATAGTTCGGGAGAGTCACCTTGGACCGGACCCTGGAATGCCGCCTAGCTGCAAGAGAAAAAGAAGCCAAGGCTGTCATTGGGGAGGGGGTAGTGGTGATCAAAAACAACTCACCCGCTGGAGGAAGAGCAAGGCAGTGGTTCAGCCTCTAGGACCAGCTTTCTGTAGAGCCCTACTGAACTGCAGGGGAGGACCTAGTCATGTCTACATGTCTGTCTTGCAACTTTACCCATTTATACCAAATCCTTTGCCCCCGAGCAACCCTGTGTGGTCATAGGAGGTGATCACAAAAATCTTTTTGCTGGACGGGGCACAGGAAGCTTCTCTTCCCAGCTGCTGCCAGAGCCTCACTGAACTCAATTCCATCTCAACCATCTCCTCTGAAGACTCACGTGTCATCTGGGTCAGCTCCAAAAAAGCCTTCTGGCTCAGTTCAGAATGTGACGTCAGCAGTGCCAACAGATGGTGTGGAAGAGGCCTCATATGCTTAAATCCAGAGGAAGAGGTGGCTGGTGACTGCATTCCCTCAGCTATCAAAGCCAGGGTAGTGGACCATTCTCCAAATCCTGAACCAGGACACTGATGCTCTTGCCTCCCACCGGATTGAGGAGCTGAGACCTGTGTTCAATTCAAGCCAACTCTCCTGGATTCAAACAAGCCTTCAATGCCATAAGAGAACAGACTAGGTTCCACGGATGGCCTCAAGAACGTAAACACAAAGAAGAGGGCTGGGCATGAGTTATAAAACTGCTACATTCTAAGTGTGTACCATATTTTACAAACTGTGCTAAATCTTAACATGCATCTTGTGAATCCTCCTAGAAACTGAACCTACATCATGATACAGTATTAGCTTCCACTTCACAGATGAGAAAACTGAGTATCAGATAGGTAGTAACTTACCAAAGGCCACACAGCTAGAACACAGACAAACAAGCTCTGAAATTCAAACAAGTTCTGTCTCACTCCAGACCTTGCTCTTCCTGGCAACCCATGCAAAAGCCCACCAATAGCTACAACAGTCAAAATACTCCAAGGGAAGGATATGCCAATGGAGTTTGAAGGCAAGAAAAAGTATCTGGAGACAACTGGAAAACTTGCCAAGGAAGATGTACATTGGAGATAAGTCTCCCAGATGGTAGAATTCCCAGGGACACAGAAGGTAACAGACAGCATTTTGAATGATGGGAACAACCTGAACAAGTTGCTGAGACAGGTGCTCCCTCAGGTCACAGCCTAGCTGGAGCACAGAGTTCATGGAACAATGGAGATATGGCCACATAGTCAGGACAGCATGTCCTAAGAGGTCCTGGAGTGTCAGATGGAAGCATTAGATAGTCCATGGGGGCAGGGCAGGGGGATGTCCTTCAGGAAGAGATCCCAACAGAAGCATGGAACATGGGTTGGGACCAGAGAGATGAGAAGTGAGGAAAGCCAGGGAGAAGGCTGAAGTATCCATTTCTATAGCAAGTATGGATTAGATGTGAAAAAAATTAAATGCAAACCTCAGAGTAAAGATGAGAGGTGATCAGGACAGGAACTAGAATTGTGGCAGTGATAAGGGTGAGGAAGATGACAGGCAGGAGATACCAAGAGATTGATACTACTGAACCAGGGAAATGAGAGACCACAGGATGCCCAGAGGAGTAGGAATCAGGATGGTGATGGGCACTGAAGTGGGGAACAGAACACCAGGAGGAAACAAAGCAGACTTAGACATGTACTGAAAAAGAAAAAGCAGCAAAGGCTGTAACTAGAAGGTGGGGAGGCAGGTGTGATCAAAACACCTCATCAGCTGGGGGAAGAATGAGGCAATGTTTCACTGGACTAGAGATGGGGAAGAGGCAGAGGAAGCTGCTCATAAGCCCCAGAACTTGGCAGTGGTTGCAATGGTCAGAGACACTGACCTGCCCCTGGCAAGCCTCCTCAGGCAAACAGCTTTGCAATTTGGAAGCCCAGGGAAGACATTTCTGCTTAAAGATAGGAATTTGCATATTGCTAAAGAATATTTAAGGACATCAGAAAAATGTTCACAGTATGGTATTTGATGGCAAAAGCAAAATATGAACAATACTATTTTATGCATTTTTCCTTTTTTAAACAAAGCTGAAATTATACTGTGGGTTATGCGCACATGTGTATGTATAAAAGCCAGGAAGATTATACATGAAAATATCAATAGTATTTGTCTCTGGGTAGAGGGGTTACCAGTGCTTTTAAAATACTATTTTTTTATATTTTCTAAATTTGATTCCATGTGCATGCTTTTCTTTCATAATGACCAAAAAAGAAAAATATTTTGGAACATGGAAATTGTAGACTCACCTGGACTTGATTAATGGTTGAAAGGTCATTAATCAAGTCATGAAAGTGAACATGACCTCTCTGAAAATGGAGAGGGCTCAAGGATTGAATTACTCCATGCCTATGTGCAGGGGTAGATGAAATGAAAGGGGCTAAAATGACAATAGAAGTCTTAACAGCTAACACAGCTAGCACGCCAAACACTGTTCCAGGTATCCTGTGTACAGAAACTATTTAAATCCTCCCAACCCAGTGAGGTCAGTACTTATGAACATTTTGTGGACAGGAAAACTAGGGCACCCAGAGGTTAGATGACTCATCTAGTATCACAAGGAGGCAAAGCTGAGGCTGGACCACAGGCTTGGCCTCCAGAAGCAGAGTGTCTTAACAGGTGATCCCCCGCCTCTTGAACAGCTGGGAAACCCTAAGGTGGTGAGAAAAGCCAGAGAAGACCCAAAACAGTAGGATAACCAAAGTCCAGGGAGAAGATTCCCAAAGGCAGAAGCAGATGGACCAACAACCCCCACTTCCTAAGGTCTCTCCTCTCCCCACCTTCACAGAGACCATGCATGCCAGCACAGAAACCTAGATGGTCTAGGGCAGATGAGGACCATGACACACCTGTGTGCCTCCATCCCAGGGGTAGTTCCCCGAGGCATGCTTCTCGAGGGGACCTCTGCCTTGTTCCCACACAGCTTCCATGGCATGAGCTAGATGAATGACCTCAGAGAGGCAGAGGAGGTATGAAATGTCCTCAGCCAAAGCAGGTCAGACCTGGGAGACAGCAAATTTGAAGATATAGAAATGCCAGAAACACAGCTTTGAAGCACTGACAACAGGCAGCTTCTGCTCCAAGACTCCTTCCTTGAAGCCTCCTTTTTGGCAAGAGGACACCTCTTGTGTCCTCTGTTACCTGCCACTACTTTCCATAGCACCCTTGCCAGACACCTCAAAGAGCACATGAAAGCACCACCCACCCAGTACAGAGGGTGATGCCATGGGGAGCCACTGACAGGATAGGGGACACGCCCTACAGGGAAGTCACGCAGTCATAGACTGGCCTTGGGGACACTTAGCCATGCTGCTTGGTTTGCTTCCTGCTTTTCCTGTGCATCCAGAAGGCCCTGACACATGTGCCCACCTGTTCCAGAGCTTGTGGCCATGTCCACCTGCTGAGCTCACAGCAGCTCCCATCACTAGATCTGTGTGTGTGTGTGTGTGTGTGTGTGTGTGTGTGTGTGTGTGTGTGTATGTGTATGAATAATGATGAAAGGATGAAATTCTAAGACTTAGGACTAAATATTCAAGTCTTCTGACTCAGGACCCAAGTTAACTTCAAGTTTTGAGTGAGCCCCTATCTTCAGCCTCACTGTTCAGTCCTTCTAAAACAGGCAGGACTGGTCTCATTAACCCCACTGCACAGGTAGGTAGACCAGGCTCAGGCCCAATTCTCTTAGGTTCTAAATGGCAATGTTCCAATACTCCCCATGACACACTACATTGTCTTGGGGTATTTTGAACCAGTCCACCCTCTGAAGTCAAGTCACTGCAAACCCCGTCCCCAAGCAGGTGCTAAACAGGAAGCTGGTGGTATCCGGGAGTGGCTGGTCTTTGCCATGCCTCTCCCTTTGGTGATAGAAGACAGATGCCAATGAACAACCAGGAGAAAGAATCTATACATGATCACTTGTCCCCTCAAGCCACACATTTCTATAATCTTCCTGCATTCTTACAATAACTATGCATTACTTTAATGATCACAAAATTGATACCTATCAAACAGAAGCACTGGAAAAGTTCAAAGCACAAAAGACCCCATTAAAGAACTATCCTTTAAAAAATAGCATGTGGTAGAACATGCCTGTCATCTTAGCTATATGGAAGGCTGAGATAGGAGGACTGCCTTTCAAGGCCAGCCCAGGCAAAAAAAAGTTTTCAAGATCCCATCTCAACAGAAAAAGCTGGGCAAGGTGGCATGTGCCCATCATCCCAGCTATGGCAAGAAGCATAAAATAGTAGATCTAGGTCCAGGCCAGCCTGGACAAGAAGCAAAACCCTACCTCAAAAACACACACACACACACACACACACACACACACACACACACACCACTCTTGAAAATAATTTCTCTCACACTACTGTTAAAAGCAAACACTTTGGATTGACTGTAGGAAAATTCACATGGGCGCCTGACTCCTATGAGTAGCCTAGCAGAAAACAACTACATCTATTCAGAGAGAATGGACTACATGCAAATCTCTGTGCTCCCAATACTGGGCACCATCTGCTAAGGGGCTGGTGTCGAAGGCAGAGCCAAAGAGCAGGTAGGAGCCCCGTAATTTCTACTATTGAAACAGGCTCAGATCATGTTTTAGATAGGAGTATGGGGGACCTTTCTGACTGGGGAAGAAGTATACAGAAAGCAGCAGTATTGATGTTCGGTTTATAACATGGCCAAAACGTGGGATAGGCAAATTGGCCAGGATGGGCAGTCCAGGAAGAAGAAAGAATTGGAGCAAAGTCTGGACTGTGTCCTGATAAGGACATGGTAAGTTGAAGGAATGGGGACTCGATAGCCATGGCTGACACACACAGAGCATCTCTGGAGGAAATGAGAATTGGTTGAAGGATTTCCCTGGCCCCACACCTGATGGAACGAGCCAGAGAAAGGTATCTCCAAGGGGTTTCTGAATGTCATCCATCTCTCACTCTAATCAAGTCCTTGGAGGGTTCAACATGCAGACAACTGACAAAAGAGGCCACTTCAGCTGTAGCTGAGCAGGGCTGAGAGCTGAAACCAGAGTGCAAGTGGCCAACCCTGGAGGAGGGGCCCCAACCACACCTACCCTGCCTGTCCTTCAACAAACCCTTCCCAAGCTGCAACTTGCAAAGTGCTGAGCTAGCTGTAGAGAGGAAGAGAAAAATTGGTTTGATGCAGGGCCTGTAGGAGAGGCTCAAGCCTAACACACTTGCACATGTGTGGTGGGGTAGAGGTCTGGGGTCCCAGGAGCAACCATGTACCCTGTCCAGCATATGGTAGGTACTGTACCAAAAAGGAGGCACTTCACCAAGTCTCCTCGTGATATTTTGCAGAAGAGAAGCCTACACTTGAGGGGCTAAATGACATCATGATTAGTGATAAAACCAGGACTCAAGCCTAATGCCCTATAGCACGGCTCCTGCTCACGACCTTCACACTGATACCTGCTAGGATAAGTTCACATGGAAATGCAGAGGAGGAGGGGGGAAGGTCATGAAGAGAGATCACTTCAGATGGACCACACTCACCAGGGACTGACTTACGGACTGGACCCACACTGGCCATTCACTCACTCACAGGAGAGGTATGCTGGGATACAGAGAGGACAGTGTTTCCTGTCCTCAACAAGCACGGTTTAAGGTGAGGACTGACAATCAGGCCATGGCAACACAGCTGTACCAGGATTAGGGGACCAGGAAATGGAGAATAGGAGGCACATGCAACCTCCCACCTGGAATGACTCCATGGGGGCAAGGCCACCAACAACAACTGGGGCCTCTACCACAGCAGGTAGCAGTACTTCCTGGCCCCACGCTGAGACAGGGCAGGTTCTTCCTCCCACTGTCTCCCAACAGGACAGGGTCTCTGTGTTCAGCGCTCTGCAGCTCAGAGAAGTTAAGGAACTGATTCCTGGACACACAACTGAGCCCTAGCTCTTGTGGTTTTTAAGGCCCTACTCTCTCCACGTTGCCTTGGCCTCTCTCACCCTGCAATGACTCATGGGAGAGGCCTATAGCTCTTCCTTCTGCTTTCTGGTGGCATGTTTTGGTTCCCAACTAGGCGTGGGCAGAGTGAAGACCACAGGCTGTGTCAAGTCCTCTGGTAGACAGAGCTTCCTTACTAAGCTTACTTGCCAGGCTCCAGAGCCAAGTGTCAGCTGAGCTGTGTCCCCACTAGGGTCAAACTTTGCTATCCCCTTGGGAGGACAGAAAGCAAAGGCCAGGCCTGGGCTGACAGACAGCTACCTACACTTGCTTCTTGCTCTCCTCCTCCTCTCTTCCTTGCACGGGGGAAGGGAGTCTTCTACTGAGAGACTGATATGCTGGGGTACTTGTAACAGAGAGACCTAAGAACTGGTCTCTCTGACAGGGAAAGGACTCGCTCTGACACCTTAGCTGACACTACCCCCAGGCTACCTGCCCTTCTTCCTTCTCGCCTTTTACTTGGTGGTGGATCAGTGGGAACTTTCATTCCTTCTTTCCTCACAGGCACCCTGCTGAGTCTGGCCATTCATCCCGGTGAGACAGCAATGGCAGTCGCCCTTTTGAGAACCCAAGAGAAGCAAAGCTTGGATAGGACTGTCTTTTATCCTTTGTCAGGGACGGGCTCCCATGCCTTTCATCTCCCAGGCCATTGTCCCCCCTGCTGCCTAAGTCCACTGTGGCTCTGCCTCCAGGCCCCACATCTGAAAAGAGAAGCTGTGTCTCACTCAAGACTAGGGGGCTGGGGACACCATAGAGGGAGTTTAGTGGGAGGCTGAGCTTTTTTGTGAGAGAAATCCAGCAGCTGAGTGTTTGCTAGGGAGAGGGAGAGAGAGAGAGAGAGAGAAAGGAAGGGAGAGAAAGGGAGGGAGAGAAAGGGAGACCTGTGAGCCACTGGAAACACAGCTATGATGGAAGCTCAGGAATTCAGGGAACTTGAGTACTCAGGCCTGGCCTCTGGCAGATGCATTTTTTTTTTTTTTAATTTCAGATGTTCCACTCTCTTACTTGCCCACCAGCCTCCAAATCCTCCCAAAGGATTCCCTTTGCCTGAGGTAGTCTCCTGCTGTTTACTCAACTAACTCCTCTTTATCCATCAGTTCCCACCACAGACATCACTTCCTCTCAGGAGCCTTCCATGATTTCCTGGTGCAGGTGAAGTCCCTTGCTGTGGTTCCTATGGCCCTTATACTTCCCTCTCAGAGCATCTGTGTAACGATGGGTCTGGTTTTGCTCACAAATATATATCTGCAGCACTTCACAGGGTGCCCTGGGATAGGGCCTCAGGACGTATTTGCTGAAATAATAGTAATTTTCAAATCGCTTTACAAGGGTAATGTCCTTCCTTCTCTGTTCCTACTGAGACAATTCTCTAAAGGCAGAAAAAAGGCTAGGGATTTTGCCTTATAATTTGACAAAAATGTATAGTACTCTTATTTCAGCTAGAGCCCAGAAGTATTCCCTCTGAGAGCTGAGTTCTCACTGAACAAACTTCCAAAACTACTCTTGTTCCTTATGTGGGAGAACATGCCATTCCAAAATAGGAAGGGCTGATGGACAGAGTTGCTGAAAACTGAAAGCAGTTAAGAAGCAGGTTCAAGGACCCTCTCTAACCCCGCTCCCCGAACAGCCCCATTTACCTAAAAGCAGCATATAGATTTACCAAGACAAAAAGTATCTTGTTCCCCTTCTATCATGGGGAACAAAGGTTAACCACTGCAGACAAGTTCAGACCCCTGTCACCTGGGACTGTACCAGCATTCTACACTAACAAGCTTCTAGTGACCCTCTGTCATTTACTTGCCTTCCCGCAGATTGGTGCCTTTAGAGAATCAAAGTCATTTTCCTTTGTCTTGTCACTTCTCTAAAAAATACTGTTCTGTGTTGAAATAAACTGGAACTTAAAGCCACCTATTTGAAAACCACTTGCTCCTTGGTATCTCCCCCAGTGTGTATGAACAATGCATGTCAATAAACATTTTTTTTTTTCAGTACTGGGGCTTGAACTCAGGGCCTACACCTTGAGCTAGCTCCTTTTTTGTGATGGTTTTTTTTTTTTTTCCAGATAGGGTCTCGAGAACTATTTGCCAGGCTGGTTTCAAATGGCAAACATCCTTACCTCTGCCTCTGGGTAGCTAGGATTACAGGCGTGAACCACCCGTCGCCCAGCTAACTTGTTTGTTTTTTATTTTGCTAAGCCATTACAGGGCTCTGTTCCTACCAAGTGCTTATGAGGGTTGAAGAAAAATTATTTTTCTTTCCCTGCATTGACATTAGGTAATGGTAGAGTCCCTGCCATGGCCCAGTTTACCTGCTGGCAACCTGACATCTTGCTGGGTAATAGCAGGAAGGTGGGCGCCTGGGAAACCAAAACAATATGGTGCCAGTTCAGGGCTGGGGAAGGCAGGAGACTATTTTCCTTCAGTATCATTCAACTCTGGCTCTTTCTACTTCCTGGGTGGAGTAAGACCCTAGCAGGCAGTAGGCTGGGGCCAGTACCCTCCGACCTATGGCAGCTGTGGTTAAGCTGGTATGTCCAGAGAAATAAGACCAGGGCTGGAAACAATGTCAGGAAAAGGCCCGACCTTTTCTGCAGGAGCGAGATCAAGGAAGGGCAGGAACCTCTCTGGAGGCTGTTCCTGTCCCTGGGGCTTTGAAGCTCAGTTACAACTCCACGATAGCGCAAAGAGGAGCAACAGGTTCCAAACCCAGGTGCTTTTTCTCATTTTGCACCTCTCTGTGGGTGATGCCCTAGCCTCAGATACAGCTGCCTACCTTCCATCAACCACACAGTTTTTGAGTGCGTACTCTATGCCTGGCACCATTCCAGTTTTGGGGGACAGAACACTGAACAGATTCCTGAACTGTGAGGGCTTACATTTCAGATGGTAACTGGGGAATGTCTGTATCTCATAGCCTTATCTTACAGCTGTTTCTATCAAGACTGTGGCTTCACTAAGAGCTATTTTATGTCATATTGCACTGTGTTATCCAGCCACCCCTACTGAGGCCCATAGACTGTGGTCTCACTGACAGGAGATGGTCTGATTCATCTCTAGATTCTCCACGAGCCTTGTACAGAGTCTGACACAGATATAGCTTCACAGCCATCAAAAAAGGCCCCAGCAGGATTTGTCCCCAAACCTAGAAATCCCTTTCCTTGCCGCAAAGGCCTTGGCAGCATCTACAGAGACAGAGTGGGGAACAGCAGTTGAATATGATCCAGTTATACAAGCAACAAGTTGGCTTCATATGTTCAAGCTGCTTTCAAAGGAAAATCCATCATAGGCGGGTTTTCCACTCAAGCCAGGGGAGGCACAGCTTCTTATATCAGATACAGAAAAATTAATGTCTCAGGCACATGAGAAAGATCAAAGCCACTGATCAAAGATGTGGATGAGACAGGCACTGGCACAGAGGCGGGGAATCAGTCTCTGGGGGAGGAACAGCCATGGGGGAGGTCACCGCGACACAGGCTGGATCGTGAGTGGATTAACATGCACAGATTTGCCCTGACCCACAATGGAAGTTAAGTGCACAGCATAACTGGTGCTCAGTACCACACATCATTATCCTCCGGCTCCTGGCAACTTGAGAGATGTGTCCCTTACCAAGCGTGTACGTGGGGCCTGAGCAGCCACGGTCCCCGCTGATGCCAAGGAAGGGAGAAACCACTTGCTTCACCAGCTCCTCCAGCTGCAGATAGCCCTCGCTTGGGCCTGTGGGCTCATGAACACTCTGGAAATGAATATCCAAGACAAAGATCAGTGGAATTGAAGTGTCAGCAGGTGCTTCTCAATCCCTCCTGATCACCTCCTCTGTGTACAAGGCAGTGTGACTACTGACCACCTCCTCAGGGGTAGAACAAAGGAAACCGAGGCTGAAGCCCTGGTCATTTGTGATGAATCACAGTGATGAGGACAGTACATGTGAACATATGCAGCCTCTCCCATTGGGCCCTCCCAGGGCAGTGTGGGTGGGACAGTGGCCAGCTCCAGCTCCAAAGTGAGTTCTGACTGGGTTCAATGACAGTCCTACTCACAGTGGAGTGACAAGATGACCTGCAGCACACAGATACTTTATCAAAGCACTTCACTACCAATGCATGGACACCTTCTAACAACCATGGACAAAAGTGCTCTCACTGTCCCTCTTCCACAGATGAGAAATAAACACCCAGAAAGCTTAAGTCATTTGCTCAGCACAATCCAGCCAATAAATGACAAAAGCTATCTACTTGGAGCCCATCTTAGGTCCACTTGTTAACAGGCTAAAAATGGGGGAAAGAGCATGGAAAATTCCAGAACAGCAGAAGAAAGGTAGAGTCATTCTAGAAACAGGCAAATTCAGCAGCAAGATGATGAGCTGGTTCAAAAGCCCAGCATGACAGGAGTCCTTGAAACTAAACCCTGGATAAACATCGACCCAAACAAATGACCTCGCAGCCAAGACCACCAGGCTCTGGGAATTCTGCTTCTTGCTGGAAAGGCACGCTCTCCCAGGAAGGGCTGCAAGGACTCAGACCACCTGGCAAAGGACAGGGGCCTGAACAGGAAAGAAACAAGGCTCTGTGAAGCTGTGCTCAGCCCTAAAGGTTATCATGCCAAATTCTCAAAGTAGATTTTGAATTGCCCTCACTTAAAAAGTAAAAACTGTCCATCACACTGAGGTATTCTGGAGATAGAAGGTTGTTGGACAAGGAGGTGGGAAGGGCTGACTCCTACAGGTTGGGGATCCCTGGATGAGATGCAGCCCCCCAAAGAAATGGGCTTCCTTCGCCCTTGTCTGCTGCACCACACAGGAGATGGGGAGATGGGTGTGCTTAGGAGTGCAGGTGTCCAGGGGTAGTGTAAGGAAACAAAGAGGCTGAGGAGGGACTATGCATAAGGATTTGCAGGCTGGGATTGGGAAGGGGTCAGAACAGAGAAGAGGAGAGAGAGTGGGGGCGGGGGAGAAGAGCCTTATTGTGTTCCCAGGGAACCACCTCAGTTTTCAAAGCAGAGCAGTTTCAGCCACAAAACCACCTTGATTAGGTTTCAAAGCCCAGGAAACCTTTTTTTTTTTTTTTCTGTTCTTGTTAATTTTTCTCTGGGTTTTCCTGTAAGCCTTTCCCTGCATAGTGCATGAGTGCTGAACAGGGAGAGGTGACAGAAAATGGAAAATGGCAAGAGGTGGGAGGAAATGGATAATGGACGCATGAGTAGGAGCTGGGTGGTTCTCCCAGGAACAACACCCTTGAGAACTTAGCTGGCACAGAGCCTTCTAGGAGTTTATTGCCCTCCACCCTCTGCCTGACTGCCAGACTGGCTAGGAAATTGATGAGATTTTCGTGGTCCAGTACAAAATGAAGACACAGGGCGCTTCATTCCAAAATTATTAAGAATGTTGAGTGGGTAAGGAGAGGTGATTAAACCAGGCACACACCCCCTCCCCAGGTCATAGGGCAGGGCCCTCAGAATGTACCTCATTGATCAAAACCTCTGGTTCATCCTCTTATTGCGACAGCCTGAGAACAGGAGCTTTCTGCTAACAGCAGGAGGCCCCTCTTGTGTCTTTTGGGAAGGGAAGAGTTGGTTCAGAAATATTTTGGAAGAACAATGGAAAGCTGAAGTCTGTGAGAGGGCTCCAAACTGTATTGGTCAAGTCATTTGGGGAAAAAAAATCAGTCCCAAGTCTCATGACACTGTAGAAAGTAAGGGCCCCTGGGCAGAATGGATAATTCTGAGTACAGGTGCTGGAATTTCCTATAGCAGGAATAGCCCCAGGGTACAGCTACCTGGAAGTTCCATTCAGACTCACAGACTGCTGCCCCTGAGAAGATGGAATTGGGGGCCAGAAGTGATGGTACAGGCCTGTAATCCCAGCTACTCTGGAGGTGGAGATTGGGAGGATCTAGGTTCAAGGACAGCTCTGGTAAAAAGCCAGTAAGACAGCATATGAACAAATAAGCCAGGCATGGTGGTGCACTATAACCCCAGCTATGAGGGAGGCATAAACAGGAGGATCACAATCTGACATCCACCTCCCCACCCCGGGGAAAAACACAAGAACTTATCTAAAAATTAACTACAGCAAAAAAGTGTTGGGTGTGTGGCTCAAGTGATAGAGTACTTGCCTACATGCGTAGCAAGTAAGAGGCCCTGAGTTCAAACCCCAGTACCACAAAAAAAAAAAAGTCTTGGGCTGAGGAAAAGGAAAGAGCTGTATTTATCACTGTCACCCTCCCAGCCCCAGTCCCTTATAGCTCTGCAATAAGGAAGAATATTACTGGAGACTGTTCCCAGGACACCCTGTGGGAAATGATGCCATGTGCCCACATTGAAAGTGGAACCACCTAGGTGTATGTCTAGTGTTTCCAGGGTGGCAGCAGGAAGGAAGGCAGCAGTGGCCAAGAAGGCTGAGCAGAAGGGTAGCAAAAGCAAGTGTGAGGAACAGCTCTGTACAAATCCCTGTGTGATGCTGAGCTATCAGCCAAGTGAACCTCAGTCTCAGCTTGAAGTGGGAAAACAGTGATATAGTCCCTTGAGGGGCTGTTTCCTTGCCTGGCTTTCCAGAAATTTGCCACCGCCATGGAACTTCTCCAACTGTATTTCACGCTGCCAGGAGAGGCATCCCTGCATGAGGATCACCACTTGTGGAATGTAAGTACAGGACCTGAAGACTTTTCAGGCTGTCACTCGCTGGTCCTCACAAAACAATAGTTAATGAAAACCTACTATGAGCCAAAGACAGGGCTGGGTGCTGAGGACACAGCATAAGGAGGAAGCCTTTGTAAGAGGTGCTTAAACTGCTTTTGCTGAAAAGCATGGACTCCTTATTCAAGCTCACGAACTAACTAAAAGCAGGAGAAAAGCATGGCGTCTGTCCTCCATTTTGTATCTGTCTTTGCTCTAAGTCATTCTCTTTGCAGTCACTTTGGATTCCAGGAAGAATAAAACTGATAACATCTTCACAACAAGGAACTGAAACTACCCCCAACAGTAGACCCTCCTCAGGAACAACCACCCTACAAGTAACAACTCTGGAACGTCTCCCAGAACAAGAACTGTAATGACCAACAAACCTTACCTGTGACTAGGACTGTTAAGCTAAGCATACCTTTTGTCCCCTTCCTACAGTTCTTTGTCTATTTGAACCTATAGCTCATGTCTGTACCCTGAAGATAGCTTAAAATGGGTTAAGTGCTTACTCTGCCTCTTCCCAGACATGTCCAGAACTGTGTAATAAACCTCTTTTCTCTGCCCTCACCATGCCTCTTTATTTGGCATTTAGAGGCAAGAGGACGGACCTGTGGAATCCCAGGAGTTTGGGCCCAAAACTCCAGTTTCACCTTGACTGGAAGGAGGCTTGTCCTAGAGAACAGAGTATTCCACACATAGGGAACAGTGAGCACCAAGTTACTGCTGTAGCAAGAACCAAGAAGTTCTCAGCGCCAGGTAAGTCAGGTTCCAGATGAGGCTGGAGAGGTGGGAGAAGCTTGAGGCTGGAGGACAGACTTGAGCTGTTTTCCTAAGGTCAACTGGGAAGAGTTTCCAGCTGCCCCATGGGAAGCAAATTGGGGCTGGAGCCAGGGTGGATGAAGACTAGCTGTCTAACCGGATGATGGCAGTCTTCTACTATATTGTCAGGTTGTTCAGGACAGGACCCAGACTCTTGAAATGCAGATGTTTTTCATTATAGAAACAGACCCTCCTGTACTAGCATCAACAAGTCAGAACTCTCACCTGCAAAAACAGATCAATTCTCCTTGCAAAAAGAAAAAAAGAGGACAGCTAAAATATATAAAGGAGTATATTCTCATCCTCAAAATACTATAAATAGAAACAGGACGGTAGAGCCACCCCCAAGGATTCATTTCTACACTGGGTATTTGGAAGCCACACTCAAAGTTGGGTTTCTCAGAAGCAAGCTGCAGACACCTTTCCATCCCCCTCCTTTACCTTCCCTGCCATAAAAATGCCTGACCTGGCATTCCAGGCAATTACACCACCTTCATTCAATTAGGCAGTTCTTCCTCTTCTCTGATTACAGGAAAGGGGGCAAATGCCCAGAAGGATGGCCCAGCTTAGAGCATCAAAAGAGAACAGCAGCTGGGGGAGGCAGAGGTGCCAGAGGCCCCCACGTGTGACTTCCACGTGAGGCAGCACTGGGTCACATGAGCCTGATCCATCCAGATTGGGGCTGAGAAGGGTATGCCCCACCCATAGGGAGGGCTCACTGAGGCCACTTTTGTTCAACTTGGTCCTACTCAAAGGTCCCAGCTGATTGGGCACCTAGCTCAAATGAGCCAATCAGGTCCTTTTCCTTGGGGAGGAAGCAGGTTGTACATAGTTCTGAGTCTTACTACATCTTACCAGCTGAAGGATTCCAGGCAAGCGTGTAAACGTCCTAGGTTTTTGTTTCCTCATCTTTAACATGGGATAACAACAATACCAACCTCATAAGGTAGTAGTTGGATTATTTAAGAAAACAACACATTTGAAATCCTTGGCCTGTGCCTGGGAAATAGGCAAGGACCAACAAGCATTAGTTTATCTTCCTGTTGTTGATTTAGAACTGGGATTAAGAGCAACTAGGCAACCATCTGAGTAGTCTTTTGCGGGCAACATGAGCTGTGGCAAACCACGTTTGACTTGGTGCAAATCAAAGCACTGAACACAATTCTGCAGGCAGAGAAAGACCAAGTCCAAGAGTGATTGAGCAAGGCTGGGAGAGGCAGCATCAGAAACAATGAAGTCCAGATACAATTAGAGACTAGAAGTGAAGAAATGCCATGGCTTTGCAAACTGTCGTGTCACAGTCTTACTCTAGTACACAGCATACCTGCTCTGGGAATTCTGAAGAATGCCAGGTCGGGCATTCTTCTAATGAATTCCTGGTCTGGCTCCTGCTAGGTTAATGTGGGTTCTCTGATGACACTTGCAACCCTTGTCTCTCTGACATCACTGAAGAGGGGAGAAGGGTGTCCATGTCCTGAATGAAGGGCCATATTCTTTCATTCCCCACTGCAATGGCAGCACTGACCACAGCACTAGGGATTGAATGCACATCAAATAAACAAGAAACACAGAGCAAGTAAGCCTCAGCAATGCTAAGGTGCTCTGTCACTTGGTCCCTCTCCCCACATCCTACAGTGGCCATCTTCCTCTTTCGCTTCCTCCCTGGGTGTTAGGGGCAGGCCTGTACCAGGGCCTCACCTGCAGGACAAGCAGCATCTGGACAATGGATGAGGGCAGCTTGGGCTGTGCCAGTAGCAGCAGGTCGCCCAACTTCACCTTCAGCAGGACCAGGTCTCGGAAGCCCAGCAGAGAGATCTGGCGGATGGTCAGCTCCTGTCCCTGGAGAGAAGAGAGGAGGGAAGGTAAGAGGTGAGTACTTGCTAGATCTGCAACCAGCCACAAAGAGTTCAGGACAACACAGAGCAGCCAGGATGGGCTAGGACCAGGTATCTGCAAGACCCAGGGAGTATTGACAGAGAAAGATCCAGCTCCTATCCTTTGGAATTAGAGCTTTCAGGTAAGACGGGACCCAACCTGTTTAAATGAGCTAATGTAAGACATATATGACAGGCACCAGGCTGCCAGGTGGTATGAGTGGTTGGAAGAAATGAGAGAGAAAGGTTGGGGAGAAATGAAAGAGAAGACCAATGCCACTTCCTCACAGTCACAGCTGCTTCCGCACATTCATCTGTTAAGCATTTCGGCACCCATCATATGCCAGGCAGAAGAAAAACATTAGTCGTTGCATAAGATAACAGACTATTATTAAAAAAAAAAAAAAGCAACTTAGGAACAAAAATAATTGGGAAAAAAGGAAAGGCACATTTTCAGGGGTGAGGATAGGGATAGAAGATGAAAATAATAACTAATCGTCACAACAGCTGGCTTGGTTCCAACCTGTGATGCTACTGGGGTGTGGTAGAACCTTTAGGAGGTGAGGCTTAGTGGCCACCACAAGCCCAAAGCAACTGGGCCATGGAATAAAACCTCTGAAACAATGAGCCAGTATAAATCTTTCCTCCTTATCTCAGTTATTTTGTCATAGTGACAGAAAGCTAACACAGCCCCCATAAGTGTATGAGTCAATTCCTCACAATAAATCTCTATAGATACATATATTATAGCTCGGTATCACTTATTGGTGGGAATACTTCCTAAGAAATGTGTTGATAAGCAATTTCATCATCATCACCCAAACATCCTAGATTACATTTATTTGACAAACCTTCCAGGTGATCCTGACACACTGCCTGGCTCTGCCTAAGCCAGGTGGCAAAGGCCCCAGGACAAAATCATTGTGGGCTCTGGACAGAAGTTCTTTAGCACTAAAACATTTCTCTGGAACCTGGGAAGGACAGCAACCCCTTCCTCTAGAAACATTCCAGGGAGACCAGATGCTGTCACAAAACAACACTGAGGGACTCACAGCATTGGAGACTGGCCACTGTCACCATGCAAGTGCCTCCTCCTGATGGTGGAAGATCTGTTCACTGACTGGGCACCGAGCCTAGGGCAGCAGGTACCCAAGAAGAACTGTTGCTGACTTACTTTTTAGTGTAGCTTTGTCACTTCTTGCCTGTTACAGAAGCAAGATGGCCACACATGACAAGCATACCTATATAAACTAGTGAAATCTGATATCATGAGACACCCATAACCACACTTCACAGTTTCATATCCCTTGCATTTATTTACAGCTTTCTTTCTATAGCATTAAAATAAGTACAAATAAATGGAACTAACAACATGTTGGGTGCTTTAAGTTATCTTAATTAAAAGGCACTTTTACTTGGTTTTATTCTATCATTGTCTCTGAAAAGTTGGTATGATCTCTATTTGATGAACTAATGGCTAGGGCTTTGAAGTAACCAGTATTACGCCCCCTTACTGTATGATGCTGGGAGCCAATAAGAGCTACTCAACTTTTGTTCGCACCTTCCTGTGAAGTGAACAATACACCTATTAGATTTAGACTGCACAACAATGGGGAAAGAAAAAAAAAGAAGACTGGGGCAGGAGAACTTCTAGAAACTAGTCCTGAATAGCAAGCTGGGGAAAGAAGACACTTCAAGGTAAAAAGAAGCAATTCTAGGAACCCCTGCCCAACAACCACCAGACCACTTCACAGAACTGACTTTCCAGGAATCCTCCAAAAGGTCATTGAGGCAACCAGAGGCCTCTCCACTCCCCAGCACTGCACTCCAAATAGAGACAACTCTCATTTCTTTGCCTTTTTGTCTTGCGTTCCAGTGTTAAATCATAAAATAGACATTTATAGGCAAAGGTTAAAAAGGGGTTAAAGTAAATGACAGAAGCCCTCTTCTGCTAGTCCCCTATCCTCTTTTCACATAGATAACTACTCTTATTTTATTTTATTTATTTTTTGGTGATATGGGGATTGAACACAGGGCCTCACACTTGCTAGGCAGATGCTCTACCACTTGAGCCACAACTCCAGCCCATTTTTGTGTTAAGTGTTTTCAACATAGGGTCTCACACAAATTATTTGCCTAGTCTGACTTCAAACTGTGATCCTCCTGCTCTCTGCCTCCTGAGTAGCTAGGATTATAGGTGTGAACCACTGGCCCCCTGTTTAGATAACCAATCTTAAAATCTTTTATTCATCTTCTGGGTTATTCCAGAAAGTTTATGCACCAATAAAATTACATATATACCCTTTACATACACACAGAGATTATACCCTTCCTGCTTTTTTAGTATATTTTGGACACCTTTTCATAACAGCACATATTACATCTTCCCCTTAAACTTCAAGGCTGAATAATATCCCAATGCATAAACCTCCATCTCCTCAACCAAGATACCCCCCCTTTTTTTTGGCCTACAAATAATGCTATCATAAACACATACATCCATGTCTCTCTGGGCACTTAGTGTATCCAGATTACCACTCCTTCAAAGCAAAATTACACTATTAAAATATGCCTTTTAAAAGTCTTATAAAAAGAATGATATTTTGCTGTTTGCAAGTAAGTAGATAGAACTGGAAAAACATCACCAGGTTCAGAAAATCAATGGCCACATGTTTTTATTTTTTTTCTCTCATATGTGGACTATAGGCCCAATACAAATACAAACAATATTACATATACATAGAAATATATATAGACATAATGTACCCAAAAGTGGGATTGGTAGAAAAGACTAAGGGAGGAAGAAAAGAAGGAAAGAAAGACAGAGAATACTAATGAAATACATCACATCTGTGTAGGAACAAGACATAAGGAAACACGCTGAAAACTTAAACAACACAGGATGGGGTAAAGGGGGCGAGGAAGTGCAGTGGAGGAGGGTTATATTAACTTAAGCACAAAGCATGTGCAGGTATAACACCAAGGCAAAAATTCCACCTACCAATGAACAGACACCTAAACAACGACGGACAATAATGAAAAAAAAACTAAAAAGGTCACACTAAGGGGAGGGGCTAATGGACTATTGTATTAGGGTTACATTGTGACATTTACGAAAGTGCTTACAATATAGCATAGTCAAATTCAGTCCCTCCATCATTCTCCTTAATCTACCTCTTCCCATCCCTGGAATAATTTCAACAGGTCTCAGTGTTCCACTTTCATACATGAGTATGTAATAATTTTAACATGTTTGCCCTCCTACACCTTTTCCTCGTATCCTCCCTGTCCCACTGGAACCAACCCCCATACAGGACCTGTTTTACCTTCCTGTCCTCCATTTTTTGAAAAGAGACACTTTTGTTTGTATAAGATTTCCTTGTATAAGATAGCTATACAAGGAGTTTCATTATGATATTTTTATGTATATATGTATCAGATCATTAATTGGTTTATTTCCTCCAGTTTTCTGCTTTCTATCTTAGTCCTTCTCTTGTGGTGATTTCAACAGGTTTAAGTATTCTATTTCCTTGTATAGCTATCTTATACAAGGAAATCTTATACAAACAAAAGTGTCTCTTTTCAAAAAATGGAGGACAGGAAGGTAAAACAGGTCCTGTATGGGGGTTGGTTCCAGTGGGACAGGGAGGATACGAGGAAAAGGTGTAGGAGGGCAAACATGTTAAAATTATTACATACTCATGTATGAAAGTGGAACACTGAGACCTGTTGAAATTATTCCAGGGATGGGAAGAGGTAGATTAAGGAGAATGATGGAGGGACTGAATTTGACTATGCTATATTGTAAGCACTTTCGTAAATGTCACAATGTAACCCTAATACAATAGTATAATGAATATTTTTTAAAAAGTCTTGTAGCTACTGCCACACTGCCTGCCCTGTTGATTTATACACCAACAAGTATATGAGAGAGTCTACTGTCTCACCAAAAATGTGATGATTTTTTAAAGCAGGATAATTATGGTGGACAATGAAGAATAACCCATTCCCAGCCCACATGTGCAGCCCATGACAGATCCAAATAACTGGGCCATCAGATGTAATTCTGACAGCTTCTGACTGCTCAGAGAACAATAATGATGGCAACAGTGCTGATGAGAGCAACTATTCCTAAGCCCTTAGTCCTATGCTAGCCTCAGTGCTTTTCATGTACTATCACATTTGCTCTTCTGAACACCCTGTGGAGGAAGTATTATAAGTTACAGAAGGGGCCTGAGCTTAGACAAGGGAGGGTATCTTCCCGAGATTCCCATGATGTAAGTGGCAGCCTGGGTACTTGGCCCAGGCCAGCCTGAGTACAGCTCACGCTCTGAATGCCCTGTTCTTCTTTGGTGCAGACTTCTGCCCCTCCCACCACACACTCTTCTTCTCTCTTCATGTGAAATGACTGCAGTCACCTAGACATAGGCTAGGCATGAGTGGTTCTAAGATTTTCCTGGAGAAGTTGAAAGATTTTTGCCTTTGGGGCCTCCAAGTCCAAGGTTAAACATTACCTGCTCAGGAGGAAGGCCTATTTATAAGTGACCAGAAGGGTGAGTTGTGTCAGTAGCTGGCGCCTCCTGGGTTGAAGGTTAGCTAAACCTGGCTCAGGACAGCAATGTGGTACCACCATTTACACTGGAATTGGCTCCAATATCCCATGTCATTAATCCTGCCTGAAACATGGGACTTTATTTTGAGAACCTCTCTAGTCCCCAAAGCCTCAAAGACCTTTTCCATACACAAATGCATTTGTGGGAGGGTGCAGTACCAGTTTATACCAACCTGCCATATAAGCAAGTTAATCATTGCTTCCTAAAAGGACTAATTGAAGCCATTAGCCAGGGCTCTGACTTGTCACCAGACTCTGCCATCTCTTCAGTTCACAATGAACAGAGAGGGAATTCATACTAACCCAGAATTGGTTTGTCCATTCTCGTTTTAGGCTGGAATAATAGTATGACCAAACCGAGCCTATCTCCTTATAACCTCTATTAAAAAATAATGCATCACCATGTTACCCAAGGTGCCAGTCAGTTTCTCTGGGCTAATCCCAAAGAAAGTAAAAGCTGAGTGCATTGAGTCCCATCAAATCACGAATATGGGAGCTTGGGTCAGAAGAGGACGGAAATCCTTTTCTGGGTCTCCTCTACCTTGGATGCCCATTTGCTACAGATCTTCCCTCCCCCCTCTGCATATTCCCTATCCAAACTTTGAATTCATCTCATCCTTGCCCCATCTTAGCTAACTGACTAGTAAGATGGTTTAGCCATTTGAAGGAGGCCATGGCAAAAGAGCAGAGGCAAAAGTCAAGTCAATTGCTGGTGGGCGAGAAGGGTGACTGAGACAGTTATTTTCAGATCTTAGGATTTTCCAGGAGAATCAGGACAGCACCATTCCATCCTTAAACTCATATGAATGGGCACTGCCCTAACTCTTAGCTTCATAGAGCCCCTCGTTGCCCACCTCTGGCTATACTATCCTGGGTCCACCCAGATCCCATATTCCTCATTCTACAACCATCAGAGCACTCTGGAGTTCCCTGCCCCAAAGAGAAACCAGGATCTGTGTACCCCTTCCATAGGGGATAAAATATAGGGTGCCCAGTTAACTTTGAATCATATTTTAGTATAAATGTCCAAGTATTGTATTATTTGTTGTTTATATGAAATTCATATAAACCTGTATTTTTATACAGGTTTATAGCACAGGGGCTGCTTGTTCACATCAACACAGGCTGGGACTGGGGACGGGATAACAGAAAGTAGCAGGGTGCAGATCAAGGCTTCTAACTGTTCTGTCTCACTGGAAATGTTAGGGACATGAAGTCTATAAGCACAGCCTCCCAGCTTTGATATATTAGATATATCTTTCAAGCAACTCTAAATTCCCTTAAAACACCAGTCAGATCAAAACAATCCCCACGGGTCCTTCCCTCTGGTATGAGGAAATTCCAAGCATTGTTAATGGTCCTGCTTGTATTCTGAAGTGTTATACCCACACTTCAACAAATCCTAATTACACGTGAGGCCTCAGCCCCAGAGGGTGGAGTGGAATGTGAGCTGCAGGTCTACTACTGCAATGTCTTCCAGCCACCCTTCCCGGGGAGCAGCCACTCCAGCCTGGCAGCCATCTATGGAAGGAAAGGAAATCGACAGAAGTCGAAAGATTGAGGTCACAGAATAATAACGCTACAGAGCAGCCATTCCACTTTTCCTCTAAATCTCTCACTATTCAAGAGATGAATGAAGCCACACAGAAGTTAAATGAGTTTGCCCAAACCCCCACTCTCAAACCCCAGTCTGCCGATTTCTCGCCCGTCTCTGTTTTGAGTACATCATGTGACTCGGTCTCAGGATCCCTTACAGAGGGCAAGGAATATCATCTCTCCCACAAAGACAACAGCAGCTTGCCTAAAAACTGAGGCTCAGGACTGGCGGAGTGGCCCAAGCGGTCAGAGCGCCTGCCTATAGAAGTTACGATATATTTGATGCATTGTAAGAACTTTTGTAAATGCCACAATTACCCCCACCCAGCACAACAAAAGTAACAATAATAAAAAAGCGTCTGTCTAGCAAGCATGAGTCCCCGAGTTCAAACCCCAGTGCTGCCAAAAAAAATTAAATTGAGCTTCAAGGGGACCAGGGAGGGGAGGGAAGGAACAAGAGCAGCAATGGTGGGGAGGAGTGGAGGGTGAATATGACCAAAGCATATTACATACATGTATGAAAATATCATAATGAAACCCATTTTTCCATATATGCTAATAACTGTTTTTTAAATTATGCTTCAATAAAATGGGGGGGGAAGGAGAGGTGGAGGGAGAAAGAAAGAAGAAAAAAGAAGCCTCCCTCCCCAGTCTTCTCTACTTCAGAAAAGCAAGAAAAAAGAAAGCCATTCCAAGATTATAAAAACATCCTCAAAACCAAGAGGGTAACAAGAGCCTAAAATTGCGAGTCTCACAAGCTCGTTTCTTCACTTGAAATTAGGAGCTAAACATAGAACTAGAGAGAGACCTCCATGGTCCCTCACTGACTCAAGCCCCATCTCCAGGGGCTCCCCCATTGTTGCAGGAGGCCCCAGCTTGCCAAGGTCAAGGAAGCACACTGCTGAGGTGGTCAGGAGGCCCTTACCAGGAAGACTGACCTGAACTGGATAGAATATTGCCTGCAGGGTGGGGAGGGTCTCAGTGAAGAAGTGGTCCCAGACTTCAGCCAAAACCTCAACGCGACTTTCACCTACATGAGGGCGAGAAGATGGGAGGGGAAAAAGAAAGAAAACAACTTGTCATTATGGAGAGGCCACAAGACAGCTCCACCTCAAAGGTAAAGTCGCCCACATTAGAAAACCGGGCAGCCAAGAGCTGTCGAAGTCCAGAGGGTGGCGCCATGGTGGGACAGGGTCTTTGTCCCTGGCTGAGGCCACCAGAACTCTTCAGGGCAGAAATATATTTGGTCTCACTAGGATTCCTACAGTCATCAAATTCCTACTTCATTCCTAAGACTCAAATGTGAGGAACAATGTGGGGGGAAGGAGAGACAGCACAGCTCTGACATGCAGTCTGTGAGGTGTGACTGCAGTAAATGTGGGACTCGAAGAGGTCATTGTAAAACACTGACTCAGTGCCTGATCACCTCCAGGACTAGGAAGCCTGGGCTCTGGCCAAGTGCCACCAGCAGGCAGGAGGACACAGTCACCTAATCCCCTGGAGGGCTGTGAGAGGAGCTGAGTACCTGTGGGCCAGGCGGGCACTGGCAAAGGGACCTGCTGGGCAGCTGCTGGTTAATGACCTAGATATCAGAGTCACCAGGCACTGTCTTTGCTCATCCCAGCAGAGAAACTAGGTCAGCCAAGATTAGACGCTGAGAGCACGTTTGGCAAACACGGCCAGTTCCACCCAGCAGATCTTGATTCATTTGGCGTCCTTGTCTATTAATTTAATGGACAATAAAAGCAGTGGGAGGGAGAACACAAGACGGCACCACTGGTGGCTAACAGGCTGCAGATGTGCAGATTGTGAAAGGTCAGGTGGCCTACACTGGAAACAAATGTAAACCCTGCTGCCCCCACCTTCCTCACAAAGCACTACTGCACTCTCTTGAAATTGCTCCTTTACTTCCCTGTTCCCTCCACTAGAACAGGAGTGAGACTCCATCCCTATCTGTCCCCCTCACTAGTACATTCCTAGTGTTTAAAATGGTGCCAGGCACATCAATAAATCAATTTTTAAAAGACTTCATACTCATGAGTAGCAAGTGGTTTTCACAGATGAATGGAAGGAGATACCATTTAACCCAAATATGAGACAGTATACAGCAGGACTTGCTAGTTAGCAGGAACTTTCCTTCTCTTAGAACAGAGAAAACTTCCATAGTGTAGTCTACACAGCCAAGAGAATTTGTTTTCTTCTGTGTCTTTATCTTCTACTGAATTACCCCCAGCCTTTGGGCTCAAAATAGACAAATTTTATCTCTGCCCCGCCTCTCAGGACTTTATTCATTCATGCACAGAGCCTTTGCATATTCTAGTTCTCTACCTAGACTGCTCTTCCTCTCCCCTCTTTTCCTAACCCACTTCAGTTTATAGAATCAGCTCAAACTTCACTTCTATAGGAAAAATCTTCCCCCATTGGTCAAATCTCTTTAGTGTGGATTATACTGTTAGCAGTAGTCTTAGTTGAAATTTTATGTTTGGTGATGATTTGATCAATATTGGTCCCTACTACCAGTTTATGGGCCCCATGAGGGCCAGGAATCCTATAATAGTTTTGCTCACTACTGTCCCAAGCACCTAGCAAAGTACCTGACATCTAGAAGTAAGTAACTGGTAAGTGTTCTATTGACTTGACGAAAGGGAGGTGACACTCCTTTACTGCAGAGGAGACAGGGAAGTCAAAGGGTCCATCTGAAATGCTGGGTCACCCTAGCTCCTAAATCCAGTGTGAACCCCAACACCTAGACCATGCACCCAAAGGGGGAAAAGGTTACTTCAGCTGCATTGTTGGTGACCCCTATGCAACAAATACAAGCAGAGGCCCAAGGACCTAAAGAAATAAAGGAGAACCCTGCGATCAGGGCTGCACTTGTTTCAATGCCAGGATGGAGGTCTGGTCCACACCCGAGGGAATCCTGCCACCTGGCAGCAGTGAGGTGTCTCCCAAGAAGATGAGTCTACCTGCTGGCTGCACACTTCAAAGAGTGACAGAAGTTTTGGAAAGTGTTCTGAAAAGAACATTAATCACACACGGGCCAACAAAACAGAGCAGTCTCAGGGAAGAAAGTGTCCAAGGAAGCAGTGGCTTTGCTTCCAGAAACACCCACAAGTCCAGGACTTAGCTCCCTGCAAAGCAGAAAAGAGTCTGGACGGAAGGTTCTACACATCTGTCTAAACTAGTGTGTTCTGTGATGCACCACAGGAGTTAAGATAACCAGAAGTATACAGGTAGGTATAAGAAGCTTCCTGAAAGTCAAGGCCACTGCAGCTCTAGAAGGGATGACTGAAATTAACATGGTGTCTTCTGCCTACCATATGCAACAAAGGAACACAAAGAGCCACCTGTCCTCTGTGCCACGCTCAAGCAGGCCTGTACATACGTAGTGAGCATGCACATATGCAGGCAAATATGTCAGCCAAGTGAAGTTTTCTCAGCAACTGGATTGGTCATACTGGTGCCTTCTAAACTTTATTTTATAGCAAGAGAATCCTTTTATCCAAACAAAACACTCTTGGAGCTCTGCTACATGAAATGGAAAAGTAGCGATGCTCTGGTTAAAGATGGAGAAGTCTCTTAAGTCCCCACACATCTGTTCACTGTTTAGAAAATGCCCAGAGCCCTGGGACTAGAGGATATGCTGCCACACCTTGGGGACCCAGGCACAGAATCTCAGATGACCGTTGTTCATGCTTCTTGGCTACATTTCTAAGTTTTCACTCTGAATGTGCCTCAGGGGAGGGCCACTTGGGTGAGACATTCAACTTCCTCCATAAGGGCATTTGAATCTCTAGTTTCACTCAGCACCTCTCTCATACAGCTGGCTTATCCACATTCCCAAGAGCTTGTAAGAATTCCCCAATGACCAACATATAAGTAATGTGGCCAGGGACAATGCTTCTTGTCTCTCCCTTGACACCCCTGTACCAATCTGATTCCAAAACGCAAAAAAGCCATTAAGTCCCTGGTCAAAGAAAAGCAAGTCACTTAAAAATAAGGCTCTCTACTGCCAGATGAACGGATGAAGACAATGCTGAATATCCATATACTGGAATATTATTTCAGCCTAAAAAATAGGAGAATTCTGTCACATACTCCGTGGATGAAGTTTGAGAACATTACGTTGAATGAAATAAGCCAGTCCACAGAGGAACAAACACTGTGTGATTCCACACACATGACACCAAGAACAATCAAAATCACGAGCATGGAAAGCAGGTGGTGATTGTCAGGGGCTGTGGGAAAGGGCCCAGGGGGAGGGTTCAAGAGGTGTGGAGTTTCAGTTTTGCAAGGTAAAAGCTCTTGGAGATCTGCTACACAACAATGTGAGCACAGTGAACACCACTGGACTGTGGCACAATTATGAAGGTGCATTTTATAGCATGCATTTTTTAGCCACAATTTAAAAAAATTTAAGGACCTGGTTTAGTAGGTATTTATAAGGTTGAGCCAGGTGTGCTGGTGCATGTTTATAATCCCAGCACTCAGAAAGCTAAGACAAGAGAATCATGAGTTCAAGCCCAGCCTGAACTACAAAGTGAGATCCTGTCTCACAAAACCACACATGCACAAAATCACAGCGTAGATATATTCTAAAGGAAAAAAAGACTACAGCCTCAGCTAACTAGCGGAGGCTAATTTCCAGCCTTGAAGCCTCCAAAAATTTGGGAGACACTTACTGCTTGCCAACCACTGGAACTTTCCAGTGTCAGTTTCTTGTTTTCCTTTCAACTTTGCCTTTCTACTTTCCTGGTCTCTGGTCTCTTTCCCAAGGAACAGGAAGAACATAGAAGTCACTAGCCTACAGCAGAAAGAAGAGATGGCACCAGTATGCAGACCTACTGTGTGCCAGCTGTAATGTTGCGCTGGTTATATGCCTTGCACTCCCTACAAGCCCTCACCACATTAAAAAAAAAAAAAACAGAGCGATTCAGAGAAACTAGTAAGTTGCCAAGTCACCCTTGAAGTAGGCAGCAAGCTAGAATCAGGCTCCACATTGGTGGTAGCTAAGAGTCACCACCAGTGACTTGCCTTTGGACCATCCCCCATCGCTATCAGCTCCTCGGTATCATGTCCGGTGGATTCAAAAATCTTAGCATAGACCAGGAAAATTTCCTTTTCCTATCAAATCCGTTCCCATTGTGTGGATGCCTTCTTTTCCTAATGTCCCCCAAATGGCGAGCACTACTGCTCTCCTACGACCTCAAGAAATACTGCAAAAGCCTGGGGACAAACCAGAGGGTCCCACAGTACAGTGAAAATAACCCCCAGGCGCACCCAGAAAATCCCTTACCACCCACTCCTGCTTCATTTTTCAAGCCAGTTCCAGCTTGCACTGCCATGAGTGGCTCACTCAATCGAAGTGTTACCCCAAGTTGGGAAGCAGCAGATGGGTGACTCACTCGCTTGGAGCCTGACACTCTCAGGCAGGAGCATCTCAGCTGTCCACACATCAAAGGCTGAGTGAGTCACAGAGGCCCCAATCCACCAGAGCTGCCTCGTACTTGCCTTCACACAGCTTGATCTTCTCCTCCACAAAGAACAGTCCCTTTGCAAGAAGCTGGTTCTGCCAAAAGAGAACAAAAACACAAGGTGGGTGACTTCAGAATGTGAGTGACCAGCCCTTCTCCACTTCCAAGGGGTGAGCAGATTGAGTTAGGCAGGCACTGTGGACGAGTTGTGCCTTCAAGCTGAAGAAGACTTTTGTCCTGTTGAAAGGTCAAGGCCTTGGAAGAAAACAGTGAAATGCCCCCCTTTCCCCAAAGGCCAAAGAGCAAGTAAGCCAAGAGCCAAACTCAGCCACCACACCCACTTTGAAATAGGGATCAGACACAATACAGGCTTGGATGAACTCACTGCTATTGGCACCCAATGTCCTTGGGCCCTGATTATCTAAACTCAGAATCCTAATCCTTGAGGATTAGGAAATCATGCAGAAATAGATTTTTTTTTTTTTTACAAAAGATAAATTTAGGGTTTCTTACACTCACACGAAAAAGACCACGTGCAAAAATCTTTAGCAGCGGTATGTGTCCAACGGTGAGGGGGTGCATGGGCGTTGGGGAGAGGTGTGCTCACTGAAGACACAGCTGTTCTTTCTGGTCCCAGAAACTATGCTCTTCCACTCTGCTTTCCAAGGAGTCCCTCCACCCAGACCCCGTCTTTCCCTCAAACGGCTACAGCTGGCCCCTAAGACATGGAGCAGTCCCTGTGTGAGTGACAGAAGCTCAGAGATCGGTGATGGGCTGGTGCCTCTGTAACATTTCTCAGGAGGTTCGCGAAGGCCTACGTTTGGAGTGGAGCGGGAGGCAAAAGGTGCAATATGCTTGTAAAAAAACCTAATGCGTTCCTCAGCACTGGTCCTTATAAACCCTTTACAGTGATGATGAGGGCATGCCTAGCAGAGTGGAAAGGACTTGGGTACCAGAAAGGTTTAAGTTCCATCTCAGTACTTTTGTTTTGTTTTATTTTGGCTTTTTTTTTTTTGTCTCTCTGTGCAGCCCAGGCTAGCCTTAATCTTTCTTTTTTTTTTTTTTTTTTTCATTTTTCTTTTATTATTCATATGTGCATACAAGGCTTGGTTCATTTCTCCCCCCTGCCCCCACCCCCTCCCTTACCACCCACTCCACCCCCTCCCGCTCCCCCCCTCAATACCCAGCAGAAACTATTTTGCCCTTATCTCTAATTTTGTTGTAGAGAGAGTATAAGCAATAATAGGAAGGAACAAGGGGTTTTGCTGGTTGAGATAAGGATAGCTATACAGGGCATTGACTCACATTGATTTCCTGTGCGTGGGTGTTACCTTCTAGGTTAATTCTTTTTGATCTAACCTTTTCTCTAGTTCCTGGTCTCCTTTTCCTATTGGCCTCAGTTGCTTTAAGGTATCTGCTTTAGTTTCTCTGCATTAAGGGCAACAAATGCTAGCTAGTTTTTTAGGTGTCTTACCTATCCTCACCCCTCCCTTGTGTGCTCTCGCTTTTATCATGTGCTCATAGTCCAATCCCCTTGTTGTGTTTGCCCTTGATCTAATGTCCACATATGAGGGAGAACATACGATTTTTGGTCTTTTGAGCCAGGCTAACCTCACTCAGAATGATGTTCTCCAATTCCATCCATTTACCAGCGAATGATAACATTTCGTTCTTCTTCATGGCTGCATAAAATTCCATTGTGTATAGATACCACATTTTCTTAATCCATTCGTCAGTGCTGGGGCATCTTGGCTGTTTCCATAACTTGGCTATTGTGAATAGTGCCGCAATAAACATGGATGTGCAGGTGCCTCTGGAGTAACAGTCTTTTGGGTATATCCCCAAGAGTTAGCCTTAATCTTTCAAACCTCTCTCCTCAGCCCCCTACAGGCTGGGATTCAGACTTGCACCACCATACCAGGTTTTTAGACACTTTTCTTTTTTGTTTCTCACTTACTATATTGTTTTTATTGTATTTCTTTTTAAATTGATTTTTAGTTCATTTTAAATTTTGACACATAATAGCTGTACATATTTATGGTGTGACATTTCAATACATGTATACATGTTGTGATCAGATCAGGGTAGTTGACATAAAGATTGCCTAAGATATTTATGATTTCTTTGGGGACATTCAGAATCCTCTCTACTAGCTATTCTGAAATATTCAAGTAATTGTTGACTACAGTTACCCTGCTGTTTTACAGAACATTAGAAGTCATTCCTCCTACTCCAATGTACCTCTACGCTCAGCCACTTTCTAGCTGCGTGATTTGGCGTTTACGTTCCCTGAGTCTTGATTTCCTCGTCTGTAAAATGGCACAGTGCATTGCAAGAAATAAGCATTATAAATACACACACACTATCTCACGTCCTTTGTACTTAGTGGCGGTGGTGGCGATGGCAACAGTTGCTACCTCAGGCCAGCTTCCTCACAGAAGGACAGGGGTTAAATTAGAAGCCCAATAATGAATGTGCCTCTAGCAAACCCAGTAATAAGATATGTTATCAAAGTCACGCCACTGTTATGCTGAACCCAATTCTATAATCCTACTGAGATTCACAAGGGAGGACCTAATTTTAAAAAGCAATTGCCCACCATTTAGTTTCAAGATGGCAGATGGACCCCAATCAAAGTGAGAATGACATCATATTGGAGCACACCAATTTTCCTTAAAAAAAAAAAATCGTCTTTTTTCCAGAGAATTATGGCAGGGACTGGCAGTTTCAATAACACTCCAAGCTGTTCCCTAGCCCCAGCTAAGCAAAGACTTCCAGCAGCCCCTGGCCAGAAAGCAGGAAATTTGGCCAGAACCAAATTCAGGGTCTCAGGACCTATGACTGCCCAGCTGGATGCAAAAGACTGCACAGGAGTGTCACACTAACAATCACTCCACTTTCTACGCACTGATCCCAGGTGACCTGGAGCATCTGCCCCAGGTCAGCCTTTCAGATAGCCCAGGTGAGGGCTCCAGAACGAGCCCTCAGTGTTCTGAACCAAGTCTGCAGGCATTCTTCTCACCACCTCTAGGTCAACACTGATGCCCCAGCCTTACTCCCAGACAACTTTGCAAACCCTCCCTCCTTATCTCACATTCTGTGATCACCTCCAAATATAACCAAGACCTCCTCCATGAGGCGGTTTTCACCATCTTGTCCATCCCTGTGTTTACCTACATTTTAAAGGTGGGGGGACAGTAGGAAGCTGAGGCACTCAGAGAAATAAAAACCTGGTCCAGGTAATAGCCTAAATTAGTAAGAGAAATGAATTCAAACAACATATTGATTAGGGTATTAGGCCCTTAGGATAAGGACCATTTCTTATTTTAGCACCCTCATTCCTAACATAGTGCCTAGACTACAGTACGTACTTAAGAAATATTTGCTGAATGCATAGCCTGACTTCTTATTTTGATGATAAGAATCATCAAAGATAAGAGATGGAATTTTTTTTTTTTTTGCGGTACTAAGGTTTGAACTCAGAGCCTACACCTTGAGCCATTCCACCAGTCCTTTCTCGTGAAGGGTTTTTTGAGATAGGGTCTCATGTACTATTTGCCTGGGGCTAGCTTCAAACCCCAATCCTCCTGATCGCTGCCTCCTCAGAAGCTAGGATTACAGGCGTGGGCCACTGTAATGGAGAAATGGAACATTTTTAAGTAGAAGAAAATGTGATATAAGGTTCCTAAACCTGTTGTCATTTTCCTCACTTGATAAAAATTATTTTGCCCAAATCTGAAGGAACACACTTTAAAAAAAAATGACCTAAATCCTCCTTCTTGTTTTATCTTAGTCTTCCCCCTCAAGGAGATGCTAGCAGAGAAAATATTTTTATACATTTCCAAGGAATAGGTTATTCCTCTAACATGGAGAAATGATAAAGAAAACTTCTCATGATACATAGCATGGAAATTCTACAGCTTAGATAAAAATAAACAAAACTTGGGGCTCACAGGAACATTAATACTCATTAGTCCTTCTCCCCTCCTCGGATTCCACGATCAATACAAACTGATCGCACACAGTTTTGATGATATTTAAGTAGATCCAGAAATTCTTATATCCTGAGGAGTTTTTGCTTTGATCTTACAGTTGAATAAACAGGATAAATTCCAACACACAGGAGTTAAGACTCAAACTCTCTTCTCCCCTTCTCCCATTCTGCACATGATAATTAGAGTAAGGATTCTTTGATTTAGCCCAAACTCTGCCCCTTTTCTCTAGAGAACTGTCACAGAGCTGTGACCCCTCGACCCCTCGTCATTCATGCACAAACAACTAACCACAACCACATCCGTAGCTGAGCTGGTGGGCTAGCTTCTGTCCCAGCCCCTCCTGGGTCTCAGCTGAGACTTCTCTCCTGGGAATCTGCCATCAACAATGTCAACGTTCTCAAAGGTCCTGCTTTCCTCAGGGCCTTGCACTCTGGAGGGCCCTGCACTTGGGATCTAACACTCTGCAGTTGCTGTCTTCAGTTACTAACGTTTCTATCTTTGAATTTGTACTTCACGATGAAGTCTGGTTGGACAGTGCAGCACGCACTGGGGGCTTGGCTTGAGCCTCAACATTGTGGGGTCCCGCCTGCTGCCACCCCCTCACCCCCGGGGAAGAGTTTTCAGGCTCCTGCTCTTCACATGTTGGGTGGTGCCTGGGTCTCACCAGACTCTCCTCCCTCCCAGTACCACTGATGTCACCCTATTCCCGAGGTGGTGATGAGTCATGTAATGGGACCAAGGTACAGTGTGGGGAGGTTAGGGTTGCTCATATGCATAATGACATCTCGGGCAGAAGTACATGGCAGCCATCCCTGCCCTGGCCTGGCAGTACTCTTGAGGCATTCACTAGTGACCCATAATCTATATAGCACAGTGCAGACTCCAGGATTTTGACAGACAAAACAGGAGGGAGAAAGAAAGGGAGAGAAAAAAGAGAAAGAGGGAGGGAGAGAAAGAGGAAGGAAAAGTAGCAGCTCTCGGTATTTTCTGTCTTTCTAAGAACGTCTGTTCTTCCTGGCCCTCACCTCACCTACCTCCATCCCCAACAGACACCACCAGAAGATTCTGAGAGGATGTTTGCTGCTGGGCAGTGGCAAGGG